GTGGGGGCAGTCGCGGCAAGGAAGACAAAGGAGAAAATGGGGTAGAGGACAGGGGATGATGGGTTAAAGAGGTGTTAATGATAATAAAACAAAGCTGGGGAATAGAGGTGTTAATACTGCAGAACAAAAGGTGGGAGGGGGGGCAAAGAACGTGCAACAAAAACAAATAACTTTTGGGAGGGGGAGAGGCAAAGGGACTGTGGGATGGAGTTCCAAAGGGTGCGGGGCAGAGAGCCAGAAGGCCTGAAGGTCCATTGGAGAGCAACGGAGCCTTGAACTGTACCATTGATGTTGGTTCCCATGTAGACTCCTTGTCCCATTGTTTTCTGAGGTGAAACCTGGGCGACACCGAAAAAAAAAGGTGCACCTGGATAATGTTGTATAGCTATCCAGTAATTGACAGCAGAGGCTGTCTGGTTGGCGCTGAGCCAGGGATTCATTCCACTGCCTACAGATCAAAGCAACAAACTCCTGTTCCAGCAAAACACTTTCAATTAGGAGCGCCTTTCACACAAAACTAACATCTCAACGTGAATCGGATTGATCAGAAAAGAAGCGAATGCTTTTTTGGAGGCAAACTCGGCAGCTCCACCCCACAATTAACAATGAGAAGAGCAAATAATTAGCGTCGCAAGCGAGAGGACCCAGGTTTGATTCCCGGGCAGGGCGAAACCATAGGAAAGTTTCCTTACTCCACATTCCCATTTACCAGCAGTAAGTAAGAACCCGGTTGTTAAGTCGATTGACGGATCGCTTTCCGGTGTAATAAGACTTTTAAGAAAAAACGATTTGGTAACTTCAATCTACGACTGTTTGTGGGGACACTGATGTATACAAAATATACAGTAAATTCCCTTTACAATGTATTCTGTGAAGCGCTTTGAGACGTCTCAACGACGTGATAAGGCGCTGTATCAAATGCCAGGATTATTATATTATTCTTTGAGGTGCTACCAAGCCTCAGTTGGACAGGGTTAAAGGTTCCAAATCCTCAAGCGACTCAACTACAGGAGACACTGTACTCACAATGCCTGACAAGGGTCACCGGATGATTACTCTCACTGAGATGCAAATATTATCCGACTTTCGAGCATCGTACGATCCTTTCTCTCTGCACCGAGGCCCCAAAAAGCAAACAAAAAAAACCAACTACAAAACGGACGGCCTGATTTTTTTTTCTTGCTTCTGCAAAAAAAAATACGCTTTAAAGCCACCGGCAACTTATGATGATTTTATTTTTCATTTATTACATTTCTGCATGAAATAAAGTACAACGCTGTTTACAAAGAGGGCAGATGCACTGCAGACTGTAAAGTATTCAAACTCCGACCCCTTCTTTTCTCTCTTCGTAGAACTTAATTTAATCCTTTTTAAAATGGGTTACAAAGAAATGCGGTATAAATCTCAAAAGAACTGAAATCCACGTAGACATTTTGAACGCTCGAAAACTGATCTGAACCGGAGTTTAAAGTGGGGGGGAAAAGAGTGAAAAGTGGAGGGAAACTTCGCTCCAGTAATGAGGCACTCTGCACTGTACAAACTTTTGCAGAGTCGGACAGAACAGAACAAAAAAAATGCAAAAAATCTCTTTTTTTTTTACATATATAAAAAAAGAAGTCAGGAAAGAACAGTCAGTTTTTGCGAGGTTTTATCGGCGTAAGAAGCCTAGCACAGAATCCGCAAATCGCCAATTCGTGTTAGAAAAAAAAGCAGAACATTTCACAGCATTTGCCCTTATACATACATCAGTATTTTAAAAAGTGTCTTCTTTTTTTAAGTCTCCTTTAAAACATTGACAATTTGATATTTTATTTAAATGATCACAAGGTAAAGTCACGTCATATCGTTTAGCACACACGCACGCGCGCACTGATACACGCACACTCGTGCGTGCGCGCACACACACACACACACACACACACGGTAAGAAAAAGAAAATCAAACACTTTATTTCCAACCCATCGGACAGTCTCCAAGCTTTTTTAAAAAAAAACTCAACGGTGGGTAAATTACGGCGTTCGTTCCCGCTGCGGATTTATTCAATAGCGCAGGATGGAAACATAGGCGGCTACAACCACGTTAAGACAGTTTAACTGTCCTTTCGAAGCTCTCCCCCCCACCCCCCTCCCCCCCAACCACCGTCTCCCCTTTAAAATAACCGACCCTGCAATCCTGCAAGCGGCGTTATAAAATTTCGCCCTCTTCCCTAAAAGTATAACCCGTTGTGCTTCCGATTGTGAATGTGAAGGGACCGGAGGGGAGCGGAGAAAGAGATACGGGCACCACTGCGATCCTCTTTTACCTTCTTTACGCTTAAAACCGCGCGGGGAAATTTGGTGCGTTTTAAGTTTTTTTTTAATGAGTTTCAAAAACAAACCGGAAAAAAAAAACAAACCCCAGCATCGCCAAATAATCCCAAGCCAGAGATACCCAGCTACACGGAAACCACCCCTCAACCCCGTTTGTAGTTGCGCCGTTAAAACTAAAAGCATTCCAATTCACTTTTGTTAATTCGCTTGTTGTGTTCGTGTTCGGTTTAAGGTGAAGGTCTTGAAATTCGCAGCGGCCTTCAAGATTTGTCTCCTCCCCTTCCTCCCCCCCCCCCCCCCCCCAAAGTCACGGGGAGACCATTGTATGCACATGTGTGTGTTGCGTGTCTTGAGTGTGTATGTGGGGTGGACGCTGCCTGGTGGCAGGTGAGCATTACTGCACAACCACCGCAACAACAATCTCAAAGCAACACTGAATGCTCCAGTCAGGATGAATACTCGAGTGTACGACTTCCAACTCTCCCCATCCTGCCACCCCCCCCCCCCCCCCTTTATTGGCAACTTGGGTGCGAATTATTGCAAAGAGTCATGTGAATGGGCGCTGTTACGGGCCGGTTTAGAAATCAACAGGAGGCCCGCCCTTATCAACTACCCCTGGCTTAGCTGGTAAATGCATCCTACCAAGTGTGATCTTGAGTGGCAAAAAATACCACAAAAAAGACCACCCGGTCTGTACTGAGTTATCTTAGTTAAGCAGAGCAGTGGCTGGACTGGGGCGAGTGAGGTAAGAGAAGACCCAACTCCTGACTGTTATCCAGTGACATATCCCACCACACACACACACGTTATATAAGGATGATTCAGGCACTGGATGAGGGCTGCAAACATCCTCGGACACCACAAACAACCCCTCTCCCTCATCAAACAACCTCCCGACACTTAATTGTCCAGGCTTGGGACACGGAGAACGCAAACGAAGAGGGCATGACTCAAATCTGGAAGGAAAGCTTTAAACACTCCATTGATAACTTGACTGCTCCATTACCACATACACACACGCACACACACATACACACACACCTACTGATTCTCAGTTGAATTAAATAGTATCTTTCCTCTTTTCCATCGCTAAGGAACAATTTTGACCTTCGAGGCTTGTGTAATCCTCTTCCTAAAGATACACAGAAAGTATGAAACGCCCAGCAAGCAAAGACAACAAATTTTTTTCTTTTTTTTAAAAAACAAACAAACTTGCATACAGGGAGGGAAAGGCTTGGAACTCATAAAACTTTACATAATACATATGACAAGATTGCCCCTGAATTTCAGGCAGTTAATACACAAACACATTCACGTGTTCTTTTTGCAATGACACGCCATGATCTCCCCCCGGCTTAAAAGGGGAGGTTATCTTACAGTATGACACTTCATTGTATAATACACAGCTTCCGTTTTTTTTCTCCTTTAAAAAAAAGTTAAAATGTCATGTATGTATCTGAGGCGACGGAGTCCGAATGGGTGGTCCTCAAACCCTGAGGCCCCTCCGTCCCTCGAGCATTAACCTTTTGTGGACATCAGGCTTATACAAAGAAAAAAAGCTTTCATTTGTTCTCTTTTAAATTTTCTGATTTGAGGCAGTCAATGGAGTTCGATCGCTCAGGACGTGGAACCTTATATCCTGAGGTCAGTAAGGCCTTGGGCGACAGGTTTGGGGTAAGTCGAACGTAAGCCCATGACCCTCCCTCCCTCCTCTCTCTGTGTCTCTTCTCTCCCACCACCTGCCAGCCACCCCCCCACCCCCACCACCCCCAACTGTGTTCAAGGTTAGGACGGATGTAGCATGGCGTTGTGTGATGGACCAGTGCTGGTCTGCGTGTCCTCATCGAGAACGCCAGTTCTTTGGGAAACATCGCTTATGACCCGAGGTGAAGCTGAGTTTCAAAACGTAGGCAAAAAAAAACAAGGCCAATCTACAGCAGGACACGGCAAGAGTGAGTTGGCTGCCACGGACACTGAGATAACAATCGACCGAGCTGAGCTTTCGCTCTATTCCCTTGGGCTCTGGACAGGAGAGATGTCGCATGCTGCTCAGCTCGGACGCTGCTGATCGTCCTTCACTACAGGTTCAACACAACTCCCCGTGCGTCAAAACAATGGAGGCCGGCAATTCAGAGAACATAAGTTCCTGTGGTTGAAGGTTCCTTGGTGAAGAAGAGCAGCAACTAGGTGACAAAGTCCCCAAATCTTCCAGTTCAACCTCACCTGCGTCCAGCACTGAACTCACTCAAGGGGTTTAAGACAAGCCCCAACGGACAGGGTCAATGGTGAAGACTCCCAACTCAACATTGCTCCACTAGACCAAACTCACGTGTATCAGCAGACCATCGACAGAGATGAGGCTGATCCTGCAGATCCAGAGGTGCCGGCAGTCTGCAAACTTCTTGTGCTGTTCCTTTTTTTCATGGGGGGGCGGGGGGGGAGGGGGCGGGGGACGCGCGGGGAGAAGAGGGCGGGGAAGGGAATAAACTGGCAACCGTTGCCAGTTACAAGTCCCACTGCCCATTGGCCTCAGTATCGAGCCTGTGTGTGCATATGTACATGCATGCATGCAGCCCTGCATGCGTATATATAGGATGCACACGTCAGCAAGCAGTGCTTTGCGTAAAGTAGTGACGCAACTCATTGCGAGTGGGGTTGCGAGCTTGGGAGGGGGGTGGGGGGTGGGGCCGGGGCGCGTGTGTCTTTGTAACCAAGTCTATTTACATCAAGTGCATTTTGGCGTTGGACAAACAGCGGGATTTGTCTACACCGGTGCAGTCGTAAACATCCGATTGCACCAGAGCCCGTTTCCCCACCTCTGCCCCTCCCTTCTCTCCCTCCCCATCCCTCAGCCAATGCAAATCATCGCGGCGGTCTCAAACCGGACGACACGCGTGTCAATGTGGGCGACGCATGTTAAAGCGGCCTGCGAGCGCCAATGGCCTGAGCGCGGGTCACGGGGAGGGAGGGCACCGGCTGTACTGCACTCGGTATCTGTTGACCGGGATGTCGTGGATGATGTCGGTCTTGCAGACGGTCTTACAGGGTATCATGTCCTCCCCGTCCTCGCCCATCAGCCAGTCCTGCACCAGCTCAGCCGTCTCGTCTGTCACGTTCTCCTCCAGCCACCGGTTGTGCCATTCCTGGAATTGGTGATGCTGGTACCTGGCCACCTGCGACTGTGACTGAGGGGGAGAGAGAGCGAGGGAGACGTGAGCAGTCAGACCAGAATACTCTAACCCCCGGCCCACCCCCCACCCCCCACCCCGGCTCATTTACCTGCGGGCCTCAGCGCTCACCGTGACTCCGCTGGAACTCGTGCGAAAACCAGCTCGCAGAAAGCTGCAGAGTCGTCTCGCAGAAAGAGGAGTAGGCCGTTCAGCCCCTCAAGCCTGTTCTGCCATTCGATAATAACAATAATAACCCTCGCCTCTGATACCCCGCGTTACGACGTCTTCCGAGACGTCTCAAAGTGCTTCACAGAACATACTTGCGAAGTGAATTCTGACTGTACCTCAACTCCAATTTCCCGGCCTTTGCCCCCGTATCCCTCAATGACAACAACAACAACAACCACTTGCACTTATTGCAACGGTGGCGTCCCGGAGACGCGAAGGTTGGGAGGTTTACCTCTCGGGCTCGGTGCAGGGCCCCACATCGGTACATGAAGTCCTCGGAGTTCATGACGTACACCAGTTTGTGTGTGTTGAGCTTGAACTTGCAGTCCATGCTGTTGGAGTTCTCCACCCCCAGGCAGCGTTGCCTGTTATTCCGGCTCTCGTTCCTCAGGGACAGGAACTGCTTCTGCTGCCACTTGCGAAATTTTCGCAGATTCCTGACAAAGAGAAGCAGCGATGAGGAGCTGTTCTTTGTAATACTACTACTAATAATCCTGGTATTTTCGCGTCGTTGATTATTACCCTGGAAGGTGATCCAATAATCGACTAATAACCGGGTTCCTACTTACTACTACTTACTAGGTAACCAGAGAGCCATGGAGTAAGGAAGCTTCACTAAGGTTTCGCCCTGCCCGGGAATCGAACCCGGGTTCTCTTGCTTGCGAGGCGAGTGCTTTAACTCCTGACCTGCGGGACTCCATCCACGGACCGCTGCAAGTCTCTCCCCCTCCCTGCGCTAAAGGAAAGCCAAGAGAGATGCTGTGTGTAGACTCACCGCGGCAAAAACACAGGCTTGTAAAAGAAACCATCGCACTGATCAAACTGAGCGGCCTCTGGCCCCACGTACTGCTCCATATAGTTTGTTAAATTCTGCAGAGAGAGAAGGGAGCACTGTCAATGCAGTCGGCATCAGTCCTTCGATAATACTACTACTACTATTACTAATAATAATCCTTGCATTTGATACAGTACTTCATCACGTCTTAAGAGTAGTCTCAAAACGCTTCACATGATATACTGTAAAGTGAATCGATTCTGCATTTTGTGGGTGAATCGCGGCATCGCACGGCAATGTCCCACAAACAGTCGTGGATTGCGTGACCGCATTATTTCTTTACCTATTGAAGGGATGATTCAATCCTGGTTGCTTTAGAAGTCAGTTCACCTTAAACTCTCCTTCGAGTTACTAGGTAACCCTGCACTGGAGAAGAGCTTTCTTCACAAATAAGATGGGTGGAGCTCACACTCACACGCAAGTCTAGCAAACTGAGAATGTAACAGGTTTGAGTTAAGGGCTGCGCTTAACGAAGTTCGCACTTTAGTGACTGAGTTCTTCCTCGTGTGAGTGTGTAGCATGTGGAACAACAGCCCTTTCTTGTCGACAGGTTAGAAGCTGGAAAGGGCTCCCTTTGCCCATCATTGTAAAAGTTGGATCAATGTATTACTGTAGCCGTGTGTTATATATGCAAAGAAAGGTCTCAGCTACAACGCTCACAAACTGTACATCAAACACACCGGGACCTCAGCGACGCCTAAGTTTAAAGGTTGGAAACCTGCCACTCACCTGCACCTCCAGAGGGTCATCAGATGGTGCTTCCTCTGTGTCCAGCAGCTCGACTGTCATAGTAACCTGGCCCTTACTCTGGATGAACATGATCTGCAGAAAAGGAATGAAACAATATTGATTAGAGTTGAAACACGCGTATTTAACGGGTTCCTAATAACAAAGAAAGTCACCCAATTTAAGCAAAAGAAAAAAAAATCATCACAGGTTAACATTTCACCTGGACTGCAAACAGCAGAAAATCAGCGACGAAGCAGCCGCAGACGTGAAGGAATGATTGGTACCTTGAAGCAGTTTTCGTCGGGCATGATACGCTCGGCCTTGACCTGGTAAGCTGCCTCCAATGTGGCTCTCACGCACTGGGAGGTCAGCGCGCCCCCCGCGGCCCCTCGCTTCCTCTCGCTCAGGTACAGCTCTGTGGCCTGCACGCACACGTCATCGCTGACCAGGTGCTGCAACTGCAAACAACAACAACAACTTGCATTTACCACCCAGCGACCCTCACGCAGGGTAGTGTCCCAGAGCGCTTGACAGCGGTGGAGGAACGACACCGAGCCGGGGGAGGGGAGGACCGAGGAGGAAGGTCTCCACTGTCCGACAATCCAGCTTCCGGCCCTTCACGTCGGGCAGGAAGATGTCCCAGGGCGCTGGACAGTCAGGGATCGTTGGACCTGAGCTCGCAGTTGGGGGTCAGGAGCGGTGGAGAGTGGGGGAGGCGGGGATGGGGATCGGAGGGTGGCTGGAGGTACCTGTCGCACGATGTTCTGGATCAGCTTGTCCACGGTGAAGCCGATGTAAGCATGGATGGTGAACATTTCGCGCAACGTGTCTTCGTACTGCGTCGGCTCAATGTTCCCATCCAGCAGGTTCCTAACCATGTCCAGGAACGCCGGGTAATATTCCTCCAGCTCAATCTCACCTGCAGGGAAACACAGTGGGAAAGCAGCGAGATTGATTAATAATAATCCTTGCATTTGATACAGCGCCATATCACACCGTTGAGACGTCTCAAAAGCGCTTCACAGAATACACTGTAAAGTGAACTGACTGTATATTGTGGGTGAAACGCGGCAGCCAATTACCCACGGCAGTCGTGGAATGAAGTGACCAATTTATTATTGTTATGGTTTTTTTTGAAGGGATTGTTATCCCCGGAAAGGCGATCCGCCAATCAATTAACTGTGTGTGGAGTAAGGAAACTTACCAAAGTTTCACCCTGACCTGCTGGGGAATCAAACATTTGTGAGAGAGAGAGAGAGAGAGAGAGAGAAAAGAAAGAGAAAAATAAGAGGAATTACTTTGCTGTTTCAGTCGGAGCTCCACGGCTGGGTCGGAGACTTTCTCTTTCCTGCCCTCCTGGAACAGCTTCTCCCGCTCCTTCTCCAGCTGGTATTCCAGTAGCTGCTTCTCCGCCTGCCGGTAGATCCTCAGCAGCCGGTAGCAGAGGATCTGGTGGAGCCTGAGGAAGAAGTACCAGTTGTTGTTGACGAAGAAGAGGTTGTAGACGTCGTCAACGTTCTTCTGGTGCTCGGCCATGGTGTCGCGCAGGTCCAGCCTCTCCTCGGCCACGCTGCTCTGCGGCGACGTTCCGTTTTCCCGGCCGTGTCGGTGTTGCTGTCCTGGCTGTGCCGCTGGTCGCTTTCCAGCTCGTCGTCCGTGGAGGACTCAGACTCACTCAGCTCTCCGCGCCGGGAGAAGAACAGGTCGGGCACGAAGTGGTAGATGATGCGCTTGATGTGATCCTTGTCCTCTTTCTGGATGGTCGGTTGCCGCTTGACGTGATAGACCAGCAGCGAGGCTACGTCCTCCAGGATCTGCTTGTCCTCGTACACGAACGTCAGGTGGGGCCCGTTAACCCCGGGGCAACCCTCCTCGGAGTTCTGCTCCTGACGCTGTGAGAAACATCATTAATAATAATATTAATGGCATCTGATACAGCGCCTTATCACGGCATTGAGAACTCTCAAAGCGCTTCACGGGATATACTGTAAAGTGCAGTGACTGTGTACTTTGTGGGCAAAACTTAGCAGCCAATTGCACAAAGCAGTGTCCCCCAATCAGTCATGAATTGAGTGACCAAATTACTATTATGTATTTATTTTGAAGGATTATCCCCGGAAAAGTGATCTGCCAATCACTTTTCCTACTTACTGCTAGGCAAACAGAGGCTTGTGGAGTAAGAAAACTTGGCCAATGTTTCAACCCGCCCGGGAATCAAACCCAAGTCCTCTCGTTAGCGAGGTGAATGCTCTAACTACTGCTCCACAGGTCTCCAGAATGACCGTCAGACAGTAGCGGTCGCCATATGCTTTTACCTCGTCGTAAACGCTCTCGATTTCGTTCAGGAGGCTTTTCGAGCGCAGAGCCTTGGTGTCATTCTGCTTGAAGTTGACGCCCTGATGGTCCAGGGACTTCAGGTAGGACTTCTCATACTGTTCCCGCCAGATCTTGTTGAAGCCTTGCTGTGCCTCCCGCCACTCATCCTCCTTCGCTTTCAGCCTGCGATCAAGGGGTTAAGGCTCAATAATAATCATCATCATCATAATCCTTGCATTTGATATAGCACCTTATCACACTGTTGAGACATCTCAAAGTGCTTCTCAGGATACACTGTAAAGTGGAGTGACTTGTGTATTTGTGGGTACAGATCAGCGTGATCTAATAGAATAGCGGAACAGGCTCGACGAGCTGAACGGCCTCCTTCTGTACCTACGTTCCTATGAAAACATGGCAGTCAGTTTTGGGCACAGGGGTGACCCACCAACAGCCATGAAGTGGGATTGTCGTCCGGGACACTGCGAGAAATCTCTTTCTTTCTTTTCGAATAGCATTGTGGGATCTTTAATGTCCACGTTCACCAAGGAAGTTAAAATAATAATAATCCTTGCATTTGATACAGCGTCTTATCACGTCTTTGAGACATGTCTCAAAGATGCTTAAGACATCTTTAATTGGGGGGGGCGGAAACCAAGTCTTCAAGGCTATGTTATGTTAGGGGCCTCACCTCTTGAGTACCACAGGCACGGCTGTGATGGGATTCTTCTTGAGGCCATCGATTATCTCTGGGGCTTTGTCTCCGTAGATGCGGTAAATAGCTCGACGGTGGATGACCTCAGACGTCCCTCCCAAACAGTCGTCCAAATGGTACTTGTCCTGGTCTTCGGGGCACATCCGAGACAGCTTCTTCTGCACACTCTCCAGCACACGGATTGTGGCCAGGTTGGTTTCCAGGACGACATCGAGCTTTTCGGACGCAAAACAAAATCTCCAGTGAGTAACATATCCAGCGAGATCGCAGCCATCCTTTCCTCTGCCACCCACACTCTCACCATTACAATGCTAGGCCAAATACAAAGTAATCTCCCCCACTCCTCCCAACCCCACGCCAACCACAGGGCTCCCACAGCTTCCCATTCTCTTGCAAATCCCAGGCAACCTCTCTCCCACAGCTCGGCTCAGTTTGGTAACTCGCCTCTAAGTCAGTTAGTTGTGGGTTCAAGCCCCACATCAGGACTTTAGCTCCTCGTTCCTAACCACTTACAATGAAGCTCGTCATGAGGGGTTTTAAGGTTATAGCTGCTACAAAGACACAAACTCTTTCGTTCCCTGCAACCCAATCCCGATTCCAGCAAACATTCCCAGCAACCTTGCCCACATCCAATCTTAACCCCAGACCATGTCTAGCCACCGAATCATTCCCTCCCGCCTGACACTCCCGTACCTCGAATCTCTCGTCCTCACAGCGGTGAAGCTGCTCCTCATAAGGAGTCTTCTTGGAGCTGACAAACGTCGAGTCCTCTGACCAGGAAGGGAACGAGACCCAAGTGTCGTTGAGAACCTGTACAACAACAACAAGTGACATTACACTTGTACAGCGCCTTGGAGGGGAGCACATGGGGAGGGCGTTCCAAGACAGAAGACAAGAGAAACGCAGTTAAAACTGTGTTCAGCTCAACACAAAATTTTCTTTTAAGCTCCACTGTACCTTTAGACAGCGACAGACTCTGCTGAACAGGCTGAAATCTAGTCAATTAACACTGCACTCATCTGTCCCCTTAGCACAAGCCCTCTTGTCCTGAGTTTGCAAAGTGCCAATACCTCCTTGCAGACTGCAGTCCTGCCGCTACACTTGGGCTGTTGGTAGGTTTTGGGCAGAGCTCTGTAGCTGGAGCCCAGTCGCTTGCACGAGGCGTAGTCAATCTCTCTCGCAATTCCGTCCACAGGTCGGTCTCTCTGCACCGGCTGCGTGAGCGACAGCTCCCTCTGACCCAGGAAGGACTTGAAACGGGCAAAGAGTTCAGGGAACTTCCTGTAATTAAGAGAGGAACCGGAAGAACAGACATTAGGCATCAGCTTGAGTCAGAATTTTGTGGGTTCAATCTCTCAGGCAAGTGTAGTTGCTGAGCGAGCGAGCACTGCATTGTCAGAGGTGCTGACCTTCAGATCGAACCAGAGATATTTACAACACAGGAAGAAGCAAGTCAGCCCATTGTGGCTGTGTTGTCTCTTTTNAAAAAAGGTATCTTGTCTTAGGCTCATTCTCCTGCTTTTCTCATCTTCCCCCCCCCCCATTCAGCTTTCCTAGAATAATACCTGCGCCTTATCATGTCTTCGAGACGTCTCAAAAGCACGTCACGGAATATGCTGTAAAGTGTAGTGACTGTACACTTTGTGGCCGAAACGCGGCAGCCAATTGCGCGCAGCAGCGTCCCCACAAACAGTCGTGGATTGAGTGACCGAATTATTATTTTTTTATTCCATATTTTCCTAACTTGAGGCATCTGTGTTACTGCTGACTTTTACGCATGGATGAGGAATCGAAGCGTCCAAAGATTACAGGATAAATATTCCTAACCTTTCCCCCCCCCTACCCCACCCCACCCCAAAAACCCCCACTGATAAACACACAAAGCCCTCACCCCAGGAAGGGAGTGACCAGCTGTAGCAGCTCAGAACCTGACACCACCTCCTGGTTGAAGAGAGCGATGCAGCGTAAGAAATTCTCGTACACTTCTTGGCTCTTCAGAACCCTGCGGACCTGGGGAAGAAACAGCAGCAATCAATCAATCAGCACCAGTTACCATAGTGACTAATGACAGGTTTCTCATCGCACGCCGGCAGAATGCAATCATCTGTAGAGATTGCGTTCCCCTGGTGGGTCAAGTGCAGCACTTTGCCGTACAGAGTAGGATGTACAAAGCTCCTGGATATCTCAGCCATAAGGTTTCTATAAATGCTCTTAGCACCCGATGCTAAGGGGGTAGGGGGGAGGGAGAAAGGGGGAGAAAATCAAATCAACCAGAACTCACACACACGCACACACCCTTGTGACATTTCGACCCAACCCACCATAAAAATGTAAGTGCTTTTGTTTAGAAAGTGTAGTTGTCAGCACATTAAAAAGGAGACCTAGGATTAAAAAAGGAGGCATCGGGTCTGGCCTCCTCCTTGTCCCACGAGTCCTCCGCTCCACCCTCGGCGCCGTGCCTTCAGCCACTATGCCCCGAGGCTCTGGAACTGCCTTCCTCACTCCATTCGTCTCGCTCCCTCCCTTCCCATTTTCAGGTCTCTGCTGAGACCTTTCTTTTCGACCGTGCCTTTGGTCACCTTCCCCCACCGCTCTCCCCCCCACTCTCCCTGCTCGGCCCCTGGATCCGTTACTGTAAAGCGCTCTGAGACGCCGTCCGGCGTGGAGGGCGCTATATAAATCCAAGTTGTTGTTGTTGTTGAGACGTCATTGTGCCAGGCTTCACACGTGGGTGTGTAACTGGGGTCCAGGCGACCGATTGCTCTAGAGGACATTTCCAGGGGGTGGTTGCTGAAGCCAAGAGGGAATTCAGTGCCTGTGTGTGTGCTGTCTGAGGTGGATAGATGTTTGTCAGGGTATCAAGGGATATGGGGCAAAGGCGAGTAACTGGGAGTTGAGCTACACATCAGCCACGATCTTCTAGAATGGTGGAGGAGGCTCGAGGGACTGAATGGGCTACTCCTGTGCCTATAATACACCGAAACACACAACTACCCCGGCAGGAAAACTCACCCGGTCAAAGAAGCTGAACTCGCGCAGGGTGCCGTGTTTTCCCGCTGAGGCCAGAGACCGATCCTTCACACTCGACAGCTTCAGCTTTTTCTGGAAGACAATGTGACAAACAAGAGCCGTATTGTGCTGACGCGAGGAATTTTTTTCTTCTTCTTAAAAACCTGATAGAAACTAGCGACTGACCGACCGACTGACCGACCAATACAACAAGGGCAAAGCAGCCGCGGGTCTGTGAGTCGCCGCTGCGCATTCTGCTGTCTAAAGTAAACAAGCCAAAAAAGCTCGATGTTGATTCCTGCAAAGGTTGAGTATCCTGCCAACATTTCCTTGCTTGCCTGGACTCCCCTCGGGAAGAACGACACCTCCCACTTGCTTGGTAGTCAGAGGCCAGTGGAGAGACAAACCGGAAAGCGAGGAGAATGGGGTTGGGGGTGGGAGGGTGACACAAGCTTTCACAAGGAAGCTTTGCCCACAAAATACACAGCCACTACACTTTACAGTATATTCTGTGGAGCCCTTTGAGTCGTCCCAAAAAAGTTGTTGTTGTTGTTTACCTTTACTGGAGGTGGAACCTGGGAGAGCAGGGCAGGTCTGACCCGCTTCTTGCTCTGGGAGTGTTTGTTTCCGTCATCTTCCTCGGCCGTTTTACTGTCGTCCTTTTCGGAGGAAGCGTTTCCTGTGAACTGGAGATCAACAGACTTTGGTTTCTTCATTCATCTCAGACTTCTTTTGTTTCCCCAGTCAGTTCATGAAGCAAAGTCTGGAGAGGGGAGTGAGGAGGGTGGGGGGGGGGCTGGGGGAATTAAAGAGTTGTGGGAGAACTCCAGGAAGGGGGAATGTCTATTTACAGGGCTGTCCCATTCTACAGACACCTATGGTGTGGGATAAACTTCAAAGAGCAATTTATTAACAAAAGCTCGGCCAGTGGCTGATTCATACCAACTGGCAGGTCCCCGGTTTGCCTCCAGTCTGGGCTGGGCTGTCCTGACCCAACTGTCCAGCGCCTTGGGACGTCCTCCCGACGTGAAAGGCGCTCTATAAATTAAATCTTGTTGTTGTTGTTGTTGTGAGTGTTAGTGTCTACACAATGGGGCTCTGCTGGAAGGGGCAGGTGTGGACATCAGGTGCAGGCACCATCAGGCTCAGGTGTGGCACTGCTCACTGATACTTGGGGTCAAGAAAGAATAATAAATCTGCCACACGGTTCCTATAAAATACACAGTCACTACACTTTGCAATATATCCTGTGAAGTGCTTTGAGACGTCTCAAAGACGTGATAAGGCGCTATGTCAAATGCAAGGATTATTATTATAATTATTACTGACTTGCGGTAAGAACCATCTCACCTGCAACGTTTTAGTTTTTTTTTAATGGAAATAATTATAGAGGGCTTTTTTTTTAAAGCGTTTATTTCTTGGAGGAATTGGATTAGAATGACTTATTTTTGCTTCCACTGCACAAACGTGACTGTGACAGACCGTCGAAATGCGATCCACGAGGGCTACAAATCTTTCAAAGGAAGAGCCCCCACCGCCCCCCACCCCCAACACACGCACGTCCCCCAACCCTCACTGCGCCCTGTTATAAATAACTCGCAAGTGTTTGTCACATACCAGCGATCGCTTAGCATCCGGCAGGAATTGACCAAACTCTGTCAGCAGATCTTCCTGGCCTCTGAACAGGTTCGCAACTTTAGCAAAGACCTCGTCCTCAGTCATCCCGCAGTATGGCTTGCCCTTGGTGTCTTTGACGATCAACTGCTCCTTCTGACGAGAGAACGGAGGAGATTCTGATACCGAGGAGGGAAGAGGGACGGAGGTGAGGCATAATCCTCAAAACGGGAAAGAACTGGCAGTGTTAATTCTCCACACCTCTCGGTGCCTTTGCACTAAGTTTCTACCAAAACGTTTCCATCATCCGGTTGGGTGTGTTGTGCACAGCCACCTCCCCCCGACCCTGTAGGGAAGCTACATGGTGAATAGTTAAGGTTGAGACCTTTAAGAAAAGGCCCTCGCTCCCTGGGCCATGGCAAGCAGTGCTGCTTGTGCGCGCATGTGTTTCATGTTGGCTTTTACCTGGTATGTATGTAGGATCTCCAGGAAAGATTTGTAAACCTCTGGGCGGTCCAGGTAGCGGTTCTTAATTTTATTCACGTAACTTATTGCGTTGTCGAATTCGACGGGATGCGGGTCGCTGGGAGCGGGCTCCTCGTGGTGCTCCGGCCTTGCTGCCTGGTCCTCTCGTGGCGCCCGGCGATCCGCACGCTCTTCCTTGTGACCCGCCAGCGGACTCTGGGATGGGACCTGGTCCCCGTGCGCGGTGGTGGTAGTGACGGGAGCGCCGCTCACATTAATGGGGGTCGGAGCCGTTTGCTTGTGGGCTACTTCGGAGAGGACCTGTTACGAAGGGAAAAGGAGAACAAACAGTCTAAGCCCTGTTGGTTCTCTCCAGTGCTTCAAGCTGTGGGATGATAGACATTAGCCTCTTGGCTCTTAGCAACAGACTGCATCAATAACTTACATTTATGTAAAAATAAGCCTTTCGAATTCACCTCTCGGTGCTTTACAGAATATACGTCAGCTACACAGAGTGAAACTGCAAAGAAATGGGCCAATCGACCCAACTAGTCCGTGTCAGTGTTTATAATAATAATAATCCTTGCATTTGATACAGCGCCTTATCACGTCTTCGAGACATCTCAAAGCGTTTCACGGGGTATACTGTAAAGTGGATTGACTGTATACTTTATTATACTCCACACAAGCCCCCACCGCCACACACCTCCTATTCTCCCCATCTATACCCTTCTGCTCCCTTCTCCCCCATGAAGGTTATACAGGTGATAGGGTCATAGAGCCTAGTGCGGGAGAGGACAGGGTTCTGGATGATCTGCAGTCTGTGGAGGGAGGAGTTGGGGAAGCCGACAAGTAGTGAGATTGCATAGTCGAGCCTCGATGTAATGAAGGCGTAAACCCTTGCAGGTGACTGCACCCAACACAAACAGACCTCGGGGAGGGGTGGGGAAATCTAATTTTAAACCCAATGGTTTTTCAGAACTTCTTTGAATACGCCGAATGCTGCGGCCACATTCTGGCAATAAGCTATTTCAGGTCATGCTGCTGACTTGGCGGATGCTTGGTGGGGTAAAGGGGGCCTTTGTAACAGGGAACTGAGGCAAGCGCATGCATAGTTTAGAAGCTTCAGTTTAGCTCAAATACGTTACAGCAAAGAGACTTCAAATTGATCGATTGGAAATTTGTGTGGTGTGGAATCAGAGTGATTTCTGCTGGAATTATTTAATAAGGAATCAAAGTGGGACTCTTCCCTCTCACCTACTACCCACAGGAACTCCGCTCCGTCAATAGATCACTTTGGAGCATAAATCTCATGGATTGGTGTGATAATAATAATAATTCTTACATTTGATATAGCACCTTATCACGTTGAGACGTCTCAAAGCGCTTCACAGGATATACTGTAAAGTGAACTGACTGGGTATTTTGTGGGTGAAACAATGTACTTCTGGTGTCCTTGTTAAGAAGCACAGTTGTAAAATCTCTTGTGCGTTGTCTAATCATTTTACTAAGCAGGGACCGCACACTGAATACTGTGCTTCCAACCTGTCTCAGGGTGGTGGTGGTGGTGGGTTGGGGGGGTGGGGGTGGGGGGGGCTGTTATATAATCTTTAGCTCTTTACATTTCAACTGATAGAAAATTAAATCTGGCCGGTCAGTCAGTCTATCACCAGGGCAACCAGTGATTGGCCCCAGTAACCACACGTTTCGGTCTTTAGTTTATCAGCTGTAGTTTAAAAGATGTTGTTTGGTTGGGAAACAAGATGGTTATCTCTTACAGAAACCTCACTGCAACGCACCTGAGTCTCAGCCAGGGTCGGCCCATGCACACTGACTGCCTTGTTCTTCTGAATCTCTATCCTGTAACCCGGTGGCAGGAAAGCATTGAAGCCCAGGATCAGGTCAGGATGTCCTTGGAACAGTCGGGAAACCCTGTCGATGACCCCAGGCGTGTCGATACTGCAAACCAGGAGCGGAGACAGGTCAGTAACGCAGAATACCGGAATCATAGAACCCTACAGCACAGAAGGAGGCCATTCGGCCCATCGTGTCTTTTTTCTTTTCAAGTATCTATCCAATTCCCTTTTGAAATACCCTTAATACAACTCTATCTGTCAGTGCTACTCTTCCTTCCCCACACCCCAAGAATGCTATAAAGTAGTGTGGAATCCTTAACAAAATTAGAACCTTCAAAACCCCGATTGTACACTTCCTTTTATGACAATTGATTTTTGCTCCTCGGCAATTGATGCACAGAATTCACCTGCGCTGCATTCAAGCTAGGACAGCCCTGGCTCAGTGAATTTGCTCACATGGAGAGAAGTAGGGAAGCATTCACCATTCTGCCCTGGAATTTAAAGTGCAACGCTGAGAGGGAAACTGCAGAAAGTTATGTTCTGTGATAATGGTCCCTCTCACTATCCCGTTTAGGAAAGTTGATAGCACGTATAAGAGAGGCTGCACTCGACGCAATATGTCACACAATGGAGGTTCCTCTGGTCTTTAGACTCCGCTAGCACTGTTCACCCTGCCTGGCTGGTGTTGTGGTGAAATGTCCATGCGCACAGTGTTGATGGGGCTGTCTGTACCTTTGCGACTTAAACTCCTTCATGATGTCGAGGAACTCGTTGTAAACAGCCGGGTTGTTCCCGAACTGCATCTTAACCTGGTCCAGGTATGACAAGGCATCTTCCACCTGAAAAGCACACTAATATCATATGAATGTATGAAACACGCCGCACGATACCCTTTTGAACACACAGCACATGGATGACAGGCATCGCTCTGACCTTTCCCACGAATGTCACAACAGCCCTATCGCCTCTTAATGCTGAGCAACGGAAACCTTCTCTCCCCTCTTATCTCCCCACTCCGTTCTAATCTTTCCCCCAAATACCGTGAGGTTGGTAAACAGAGAGAAAAACTAAAACAAATTCATAGCGCAAGTGTGTAATAGGGGGACTGAAACACAACTTTACACTGGTTCGATCCCCTCCCCTCCCCACACACGCCCACAACCCGAACCATTTTTAATTTCAACGTTTTGATCTTGACTATCATTTGTGGATCTAACACACAAAAAAAGCTCAAACTTCCCCAGATATTGCGTTACAGCAAATTAACTTTCATTATTTCCGTCTGCGCTGGAAACCGGTTTCAAAGCAGAGCCCTGGAGCCCACTGGGACAACAAGCTGGCTAGCCTACGCTCTGCGCCTCTCTAAGCCTTCTCCATTTCATGTTATGATTTATCTCCCAGTAGAGCGCAGGGCTGTCACTAATGCACAGAGAATTTCTGTCTAATCACAAGACAAATCTATATCAATAAAATCCCAATTAGAAACACCCTCCCACGCTGCTATTTCAAGCAGCTCCAAACACTGAGCCCGGCGGTGGAAAGCACATCTGGTTGACAAAAGCAGCTAGTGACATCTTCAAAAAAAGTAAACTGCAGCTCCCTCGCTGTAAACGGAAAGAGCATTTTTCACGTCAATTGAATTAAATATTGGGACAGCACCGCACGGGGTGAGTTGTGCACAGGGCCGGAGTCTGTGCTGAGATCTGTGAGTCAGTCTTACCTTCAGCCTCTGAAATTGCTGCTGGGCCTGTTTCTGCACAGCGTAGGTCTGCGCTTGGATCTGATGGTTGATCTGCTGGAGATGAGCCTGGATCTTGGCCATGGTCTCGCCTCGACGTCGGGGGACGTGGGACGACAGAGGTTCTGTGTTTGAGCCTTGGACCACCCCAGGCATCTAGGTCGGGAAAAAGAAACACAAGAGCTCGGTGGGTTGAGATTATTTGCGCTCCCCACGTTTCTGCCTCTGCACTGACCCCGGTGGGGGGGGGGGTTGAACTCAGGAACTCAGGGGGAAGGGAAACAGATACGTTCCAGGAGAAAGGATAGTGGTTTTGCGTCCCAATGTATAGGACCAAAAAAGTCAATCTCAACCAAGAAGAGGATTTGTGTAGTATTAATTATTATTATTATTATTATTATTATTATTATAGACAAAGAGCTCCGTCTAGTGGTGGAAAGCAGATACTACAGAATTTCAATGCGCTCCACTGGTCCAACCAATATTTTTTCAACCAGTTATGGCCGCACCGATGGCCGATTCCACAACAGGGCACCACGAAGAATAAAGGCACGTGGCTGGACTGTTCTGTCCCAAATTCCTGAAGGAAAGTAAATAAAAAAGATGGTTCAAAGCACTTTATTATTACCGCCCTCGTGGATGTTGGAAGAGGATGGGCTCTGATGCCTCTCGTAGATAAGCACACTAACGATACTCTCCAGATTCACACAAAGAATAACCGCTTGGGTAGCTGGCGCCCGTTCAGCACCCGAGCGCAAGTCCTCAACGTCAGGAGGGGAAAGCGGAAGAAAGTGGGCAAAAATAACACAAAGAAAATACAGGTTAAATATTTCTGTTTATTTTGAATTGACCCATTGGAGATATTAGCAAGGTTGGCCTCTCCCGGAAGATGCTGAGGAGATGCGTGTAGGGGCTGAGATTTCACAGAAGTTGAGGTGCAAAAGTCACTTCCAAAAGAGGATCAATGGAAGCTACGAAGGAATCTCACACCTCAAACAAATACGTGCCCAGACCAACATTTGGTTTGGACCTTACATAGCATCTTAACCTCTTGGAACAGCCCGATCACAAAACCGGCCAGCCATGATGTCGAGAACCTGAGTGAAACCCGATAATAATAATAATAATCTTTCCATTTGATCCAACACCTTATCACGTCGTTGAGACGTCTCAAAGTGCTTCACAGAATATACTGTAAGGTGAATCGACTGTACACCTTGTCCAGCAGGTGTCATGAAGCAGGAGCAGAAACAGTGACAGATTTTCTCTCCACAGAGGCTCAGAAGCACTGAGGCCGATTGTATCACATTTACTGCTGCCCTGGCTCAGATCAGTTAACAGTTTAAACCAGGATTCGAACAACAACCTCCTGGTCTGTAAAGTTTTATTATACAACTTGCAGTCATACAGCGCCCTTCATGTGAGAAGCATCTTGGAGCACTTAACAGTGGTGGAGCCTGAAACCGAGCAGGAGGGAGGTTGCCGTAAGTCTTAGGGAAAGGCCGGGGAGATTGAGGAGGTCAGAGACGCAGGAGAGAAGATGCTGATGAGAGCCAAGGCGGTGGTCCTGGGTTTCAGTGGGGGAAAGGAATTGAAGGTTGAGGAGATGCTTGTTTAGCAGCATGTATCGTGATTGCTGCAGGTGGAAAGTCAAGGGTTGGTCCGAGGATGAGAGGGCAATGCATTTTCTTATTAGGCCTACAAGGAAGCGGTGTATTTGTACAGCAACCCTTACAGCCTTTAGCGTAACTCAAAAAATATAACATCTTTTAATTAACCTTGTTCCAACTCCAGACGCACCTAGAAACGTACCACAGCCTCCTCCATCTACAAGAGCAACCTTCATGTTGCAACAAGAATTCTTGGGAATTTTCCAACGGCTAACATTTATTCTCAGTAAAAATTTTTTTACAGCAACTCCAGTGGGAATAGTCTGTCTGGAGACTAATGGGTGTCTGGCTGCTCAGTGCTAGGATGTAGAGGATAATGTCAATGGAGTGAAAGCCAGTTGAGTTCTGTCGATAGTTGGCCTTAGCTGGGTCGCCTTGAGATTGCCCGGTCATCATTTTATTTCTTGACTGATCTTATACTGCAACATTTTGGCTTTGGAAGACGTGAAACCATCTGATAATCAAAATTCACCATCTTTGCCCTGGGAGTTTCAACTGTGCTGCCAACGTTTCCAGGACAGCGTTTGGCCCCGATTGTGATGTCTCTCTTAACTTCCTGCATCTTAATCTCCGAAAATTCTTTCACCTCATTTTGTACCTATTTGATTCAAATTATAGGATTCTATTCAGATTGTCTTCGTCTCTCCCTAACCACCAGAAATGCATCATTCCCCCACTAGCTTAATGGGAGAACTTTTCCCAGACAAGTGGACCAGTCTAACTGTCCCTTGTTGGGGTTGTGACAAGAATCTATGGAGGGATCTGTTGGTTGAACAATCCCAGCTAAACTCGAACGGAAGGAAAGCAAGAAAGAAATGACAAAAAAAGAACTGATTCCATCGTTCACAAGTGTCACAGAAACTGATTGAAGTTCTGTCAAACACCACAGGCCAGGAAGCGCTACCTCCAACACAGCAGACATCTTATTCAACAGATCATCCCTGAGGTTTGAGAAGAAGACTAGGAAAGTTATCAGGTGTAGATACATAATGCAAGAACCAAACATCCATGCTTTGCGTTTCTTCTGTCAAAGAACAGTGGATAAAGTGGTACAAGCTTCGGCTCAGTTGGGCCAAATGGCCTTCTCCTGTACCTTGTGTGTCCTCCCGACGTGAAAGGCGCTCTATAAATGTAATTTTGTTGTTGTTGCTGTGATGGACAGAGAGGCTATTTCATTAGCAAGAAGTCTTTTCACAAGTGTTAAAGGAACTCTATGTTTCGGGGAATGTTGTGAAGGATGTGAGCTCCAGGGCAGCTCCAGAGCTTTCATTAGCGGTGTATATTATTATAAGAGACAAGCTGATGTCCCAAATCCCTAACTGTCCAGGCCTTGGGACGTCCTCCAGCTGCGAAAGGCTCTAAACAAATGTAATTTGTTGTTGTTGTGGATCATCAAACAGGGACAACACAAGACTTCAAACCCACCACCTACATTGTGAATCGCCAGTGCTATGTTCTGGCTGAGTGTTAAATAACACACGACAGTTAAAGTTCTTTTGTGCATTCCAATTTGCTCTCTTCCAGGAAGCGATGTAAGAAAGAAAAAATGTGTATTTTTGTATTTTGATAGCACCCCATTATGTCAAAACATCTGAAAGTGCTTCAGAAGTATTTACTAACAAGCACAGCTACTTTTTTGGAGTCTGTTTCTACTGGCGCCCTTCAATAACTCACTCAAGTGGCCATTCATCATGCGTAAGCCTGGATATGGAGTGGAGGGCATCACATCAGAACCTGATCCAACAGTCACACTGTCCAGCAAGGGTTACAGAACAGCGATCGGAAGAAAGAACTTGCATTTTTTTTTTAGTCTCATCAGGCTGAAATGTCTCAAAGCGCTTCAGATTAAACCCCGTCACATTTGCAACTGTTTTGTGGGCCATTGCAGCATCTACTGCACCCACAAGGTGCCATGAGATGAATGGACGGTTCATCTCGGAGATCATCAGGAGAGGCTCCGGTCACTTGACTCAGTGCCGTGGGATTGTTACAGTCCGTCTAAATGGACAGATAGGACCTCGAGCCTCAATTGACGGACGGCACTTCTGTCAATGCGGCGTCCCCCCCCACCCCCACCTCCTAGTGTTGCCCTGAACTGCGAGCTCAATACACGATGGGGTGGAGGGGGGGGTTTGGAAAACTGAACACTGGTCAATTTTTTTGCTCCCCCCGCCCCTCCCTCCCTCCTTCCCTCGCAGACTCAGGACAAATTTGCCCAACGACGAACTCAGCACAACTCAAGAGACCACAAAGGAGCTCTTTTCCCGAACAAAGGAAACGACGCACAGCGTTTTTCCAACAATCTGCGCCCGAGTTCCCAGGTTCCCCGACGGGGGGTCCGACTGAACCGGAGGAGAAGGGGACGCACCCGCGACACAGGACGAAAAGCCAACAAGAGAGCGTGCGTGTGTTTGTGTGGGTGTTGGGGGTGTGGGGGGGGGGGGGTGGGGCGGGGGGGAGCGGGCATAACTTTGACATAATTTGATGGCAGCGCTGGGCGGGGAGGGGGGGGGGGGGGGGGCGGTGGGGGGGTTTGTAAACGCTAATTGCAAGGTCAGCGTTCCCATTCACGGCCCAAACATCAGGAGGGAGGTCGGCGCGGCCACGGCGGAGGGAACCGTCCCACTTTCCGTCACCCCGACCCCCGCCCGCGCTCTACTCTTCCACCACCTCCCTCCCACCCCCAAAAAACAAAAACCCCACAACATGAGCAGGAGAGTAAAAAAAAATTGGGTGGAAAAGGCCAAAGGAAGAAGGAAGGAAGGAAGGAAAGAGGGGAGCAAAGAATTCCCTGGAAAATTTGATGTCTGAGAATTGGGGGGGGGGAGGAGGGGGGGGGGGGGGAGACAGAGAGAGAGGGGGGGGGGGGGGAGGAGAGGGGGGGGGGAGAGGGGCACAGAGAGCGAGAGAGGGAGAGAGTGGGAGAGAGAGAGAGGGGGGGGGTGGGGGGGGGGGGGCAGAGAGCGAGGGAGGGAGTGGGAGAGGGGAGGGGGGGAATTTACCAAAGAAAAGGAAGAAAGAGAAGGATTTAAAATGGTCAGTTTTAACCAAAGTGGTTTTTTTTTTGTGTTTCTTTTTTTCTTTCTCTCCCTCTCTCTCTCCCCCCCCCCCCCCCACACCCCTCCCCCACACCCACTCGCCCCCTCCCCCCCCACTCGCCCCACTTCCACCCCCCACACCCACTCGCCCCTCCCCCCCCCGCCGGGATAAGAGGGCGCCGAAGCCCCCACCGGTGTGTGTGTGTGTCCGCCCCTCATCATCTCCCCCCCCCGCCCCACGCCCCCCGCTTCTCCCTCGCCCACCCGCCCCCCCCTTTTTGGAGCTGGGTGGGAGGGGGGTGGGGGGCCGCTTCTGGCCCGCGGGCCGCCTCCCGCTTGCAGCCCCGGCCTCGGCTCTTACCCGCTCTCGGCGCCTCCGCTCCCGGCCCCGGCCGCTGTCCCGCTTCCGGTCCGTCCCTCACACACATCCGTCCCCTCCCACCCACCGCGCGCCGCCGTCAGCCAATCAGGAGGCGGCCCGAACCCCCGCGCGCCCGCCCACCCGCTCCCTCCGCGGCGGCGGCGGTGGGGGGAGGGGGGCGGGGCCACCGCCAGCCCCGCCCCGAAGGTTCCGGTTCCGGTCATTAAGAAGCCTGAGGGACAGCAGCAAATTATTCCCGCCCCCCCCCCCCCACAGCCCTCACAGCCCCCCTCCCACAGCCCTCACAGCCCTCCCTCCCCACAGCCCCCCCCACACAGCCCCCCTCCCCACAGCCCCCCCACACAGCCCCCCCTCCCCACAGCCCTCACAGCCCCCCCTCCCCACAGCCCCCCCCACACAGCCCCCCCTCCCCACAGCCCCACAGCCCCCCTCCCCACAGCCCCCCCCACACAGCCCCCCCTCCCACAGCCCCCCCCCACAGCCCCCCCTCCCCACAGCCCCCAAAGCCCCCCCTCCCCACAGCCCCCCCCCACACAGCCCCCCTCCCACAGCCCCCCCCCCACACAGCCCCCCTCCCCACACAGCCCCCTCCCCACAGCCCCCCTCCCCAAACCCCCCCCTCCCCCACAGCCCCCACTCTCCACGGCCCCCCTCCCCCAAAGCCCCCCCCCTCCCCACAGCCCCCACTCCCCACGGCCCCCACTCCCCACGGCCCCCCTCCCCCAAAGCCCCCCCCTCCCCACAGCCCCCACTCCCCACAGCCCCACTCCCCACAGCCCCCCCTCCCCACAGCCCCCCCCATAGCCCCCCCACCTTCCTCTCAGCCCCCCCTCCCCAGCCCCCCACGGCCCCCTCCCACCCACAGCCCCCCACCCCACAACCCCCCCACTTTCCTCCCCCCTCCCCAGCACCCCCACACCTTCCTCCCAGCCCCCCCCTCCCCAGCACCCCCCCTTCCTCCAGCGGGGGTGGGTTTGGGGTGGGGGCATTGTCGGAGCCGCCATCCTTCGGCTGAGATGTGGATGTTAACACTCTGGCGGCGCTATTGAGGAAGAGAAAGAAAGAAAGGAGTTTCTCTCTCTCTCTCTCTCTCTGTCTCTCCCCCGGTGTCCCGGCCGCCAAATCCTGAATAAAACCCTCGCTCCGTGGCCGTTTGTGGGACATCGCTGCGCGCAAAACCGCCCGCCCCCTCCCACCCGAACAAAAAAAAAACACAATCGATCCACTCTACGTGTAGTGTGTCCTTTGAAGCACTTTGCAACCTCTCAATGACACGATAAGGCATTATGTCAAATGCAAGAATTATTATTATTACTCCCTCTCATTTCTACCTCCCACACGCCCCCCCCACCTCCCCACCCTCCCGTTCACTGCCCAAACACAAAATCCTTCCCCCACTGACTCAAAAATACTTCTGCATTTTTTTTTGGCAAACCTACTGTTGCCCAAAAGCAAACATTGTACTTCTGTATTATGTTAAGGCCCCATCCATCAATGGACAAGGCCCTCTGATCCACCTCTGATCTGTTCTGCTTTAGCTGATCTCATCGTCTTTTAGGCTGACAATGCCCCAGTCAATCATTTCCTCGCTGTTTATTACTGGATGCAAATTGCCCGCCGCATTTACATATAATTACACAGGCTCAACACTTCACAACAACATGGTGATGTTTGTTGAGATGTCCTCGTCACTGTATTAAATGCAAGGATTCTCTCAACCAGACTGGGATGTCACAGAGCTGGGACGAGAGAACATCAATCTGAGCACTGTGGCATTGTAGTAATAATAATAATAATAATAATAACAATCCTTGCATTTGATGTTACACTTTATTGCGTCTTCGAGCTGTCTCAAAGCGCTGCACAGAATATACTGTCGTGATGTGTAGTGACTGTATATTTTGCGGGCAAAATGCAGCAGCCAATTGTGCACAAACCATGGTGGATTGAGTGACCAAATTATTATGATTGTTATTATTAATTATTGTGCGAGAAGAGGGCGAGTTCTTTCAACAACAACTTGCATTTACGCAGCGCCCTTCAGGCGGGGGGGGGGGGGGGGGGAAGCGTTTCAGAAGGCTTTCACTGCAGCCTAGGCTCCTGCAGGGTGCTCGAGGGTTAAAGCAAAGTGCTGATGGCGGGTTTTTTCTCCTTCCTGGGGCTGGGGCGGCTGCCAAAAGCAAACTCTCTCTTGTTCCAACCGTGACATCACACGGTAACAGCCTCCTCCGTGCAGTGGCAGACTTCAGGCCTCGAAACGAAGAGGCAGCTTTTCTTTTTAAGCAAACCCCCAGGCTGCAGACTGGGGCCTGGACTGCTCACCAAAGAGAGCAGAGGGCTTCAATAATAATAATAATAATATCTTTTAAAAAAAACGCCTTCCTAGCAACTATGACACAAATAAACTTTTGTCCAAACCTTCTCAACACTTGTGTTCCAGCAGCTCAAATGTCCTCTGGCGTTTTGACTCCTGTCTGAACCGGGGTTTTTCCTGGTTTGGTTGGCAATGAAGACATTAGCACCACCTCGTGGAACGTCAAGTGGAGCTGGTCGCTGTTTGACAGCAAGACGGAGCTAGCACAACATGTAGTCCTAATTATTGCCAGAGTGCACCGCTGAGCATTGGCCAAACCAGGCACGTGGTTGCACGCAGGCTATTCTGGGAATGTTGCCATGAGTCTGGTTCGCAGAGCGCGCCAGGATTTCTCACTCAGCACCGTCCCACGTGGAGTCGTGTAGCTCAGCGGTCGGTCAGAGCGCTCGCCTCGCAAGCGAGAGCACCCGGGTTCGATTCCTCAAGCAAAATGCTTTACGCCACATGCACATGTTTACCCAGCGGTAAGTTGTTAGTCGATCGGCGGATCGCTTTTCCGAGGGTAATAAACCCTTCCCCCCAAAAAAATTATATAACAATGTGGTCACTCCATCCACGACTGTTTGTGAGACGTCGCTGTGTGCAATTGGCTGCCGTGTTTCGCCCACAAAATACACAGTGAATCCACTTTAGGATATATCCTGTGAAGTGTTTTGAGACGTCTTGGAAGACGAAATAAGGCGCTGTTTCAAACTATAATATGATTATAAATATTACTAATAATCCACTCACACTGGATTTGATCTTAATCCTGCGAGCAAATGCAGTCACTGCACTTTACAGCAAACGTGAAGCACTTTAAGACCGTTCAACCTGATGAGGCGTTATTTCAAACACAGGGATTGTCAGAAGCCGCAGTGCACAATAACGAGACAACCTCAAATTTGAGTCGAGGAGAAAAGTTGCATCAGTTACCAAGTCAAACTGAAGGCTGCGGATATCCTGAAAAGACCTTTATTAGATTTATAAACAAATAGGAGTACAAGAAAAAAAAAATAAGGACTAAAATAAAATTCTCGCAACAATCATGAAGTGACCGAGAGTACAACTGGCCTTTCACATTAACAATGTACTGGAGCTTAAATTCATTTCAGACACTGATCACTCGGGCTCCTCCCGACAAGCGAAGGATTTCAGTGTCAAAGTGTTCAGAGCCGCGGGACCCAAGTTAAAAGGACCCCCATATTTCACATTTGTTAAAAGTTACGAGCAAACCCCCCCCCACCAGCACGCACCCTCCCCTCCCCACCCCCCCACGCACACACACACACACACACACGTTCACAAAAAGCTACCAGCCCAGGCTTCCTCTGGTGAAAGGCAATCCCTACTGCTGACCCCATCCCTCCCTCCGCCGTTATAAAAAAAAAGTCAGAAAATTGCAACGAGTTTGACAATCTTCACCTTGTCTTGTCACCTCTATTGCCACTCCGCCGCTGGTGCAAAACAGGGGAGTTGAGCCCCCTGTGTGCTATAGGCAACTGTTCCCAATGTACCGTCTCACACACACACACAGAGAGAAAGAGAAGGGGGGTTGGGGGGGGTGTGGGGGTGAGGTATACAAAAAGCAAGCCATCAGAAGCCTTGTAATAGCTGTACAGTAACGGCGTGGCAGTTAGCCTGCCAAGAGGATGCCAGGTGAGCAGGACTGAGATACACAATGTCCCAGCTAGAGTTTTCTCTTTAAAAAATAGACGGACGGGATCGAAAATAGAACATTTTAAATTCAACTCAGTCATTCACTGCACCCACCCGAAGCACAAGGTTTTTTTTGAATGTTTTTTTGGACCAAACGTTATTGAACAGGTAGGAGGTTCAATCAGTCGGACAGTTTGGGGGGGGCGGGGGTTAAGTTTTTTAGATGCAATTTTTTTTATATATATATATTAAAAAAAGAGCGTGTTCAGGTTACAAAGGTAATACACACACACACACACACACGCGCACACATTAAATCCCGTGACAGGATTTCACTGGCAAGGAAGAGGCGAGATAAAAGATTCTAATACATATATAAAAAAAATATTCTGAATGTTTGGTGTTCCAAAGCTCGTTGCCGGAGGGGACCTCTTAATCGCTGCCTCATATGCCACACATGGAACCGTAGGTACGAAGGAGAAACATCACCCATCAAGTGAAACACAAAAGAGAGTGATCTACACTCAACCTCGCCCTCTCCCCCCCCCACCTCCCCCAATCAAGAGAATGTTTGGATTCCAATCAGCAGGTTTCACCTTAAACAGAAAAATTCAGCATTTAAAGCAAATCCGACTGCCTCTTCCTCCGCTGGAGTCAGGTCGGAAGGTCGGGGAGGAAATGTGGTGTCTGTGTTGAAAAACCAAGGAAATCTCAAATCCTCGAGAGCGACTGACTACAAGGAACCTTTATTGTCTATTAAAAAAAAGCATCATCCCTATGAATTAACACAGAGAGGGTGTGTGTGTGTGTGAGAGGGGGCAGCGGAGAAGTGGGGGGGTGGTGGGGTGGGGTGGGGTGAGAAGCGTTTAAAAACAATGATCCTATGGTATGAAAAGATAAAAGACAAAAAACAGACACACAGACAAGGCGCCCCTCCCAGTCTAACCTCACACTCCCTCTCCCCCAGACTCAAACCAGCAAAAAAAAAGTGGAGGGGGGGGGGGCAAGAGAGAAGGGAGGGAGAAGGGGGGTGGGAAGCGGGAGAGAGAAAGTCTTGCGAACAGCAGCCTGTCCTGACAGAGGGGGCCCCCCTTGTTTTTTTTCCTGAATAAATTCCAAATACATTTACTAGCGAGGAGAAACAAATGCACCATGGAATTTATTTACGTCCAAGAGAGTTGCAGCTCCCAGATCCAAGACAACGTGAGCTCCAAGGAGCCGCCCGCTTGCATCGCAGGGTCGGGACTTTGCCCACCCCTCCTGGCCCCCGCCCCAGCCCCCCCAAGAGGGTGGTGGTGGTGGTGGTGGGGGTGGGGGGGAGGAGTCGGGGGTCGGGGAGGTGAGGGGGTCATGACTCCTCGTTGCCCGAATCGTCTTCGTCGTCGTAGTAGTCACCGTCCTCGTCCTCATCGTCCATGTCGTCATCGTACAAGTCGTCGTAGAGCAAGTCTGAGCTGCTGTCGTGGGAGGGGGCTTTTGTCTTGACGCAGTACTCCGCCAGGGTGGTGGGCACTTTCACCCCGTCCTTCTCTGCCTCGGCTTTTGTGGCTAAAACTTGTTTTCTGCGGAGAAGTAAAGCGTGACACGTTAAGAGCAGAGCGAGGTTCCAGCACAGGGTGCGATTTCCTTTCCCTTCAGCTGATCACAACAAATCACGTTTGTACCTCGTCCTTCACGTTGGGAGGACGTCCCAAGGCTCTGAGACGCGCAGAACAACTGAGACCGACAACTGAAATCCGTGCAAGAATGACGATTAGAGTGAAACTCGCACAAGCCTGATCTGTATAAATTGAACAACAGCAACAACGAGCATTTACACAGCACACCCCCCTCCCCCCCCCCCTCACGCAGAGCGCTTGGACAGTGGCCGAGCACGACTCCGAGTCCGGGGTGGGGGGGAGGTGACTGGTCGAAGCAGAAGGTCTCCAGGTGCGACTTGACGACGGGGGAAAGGAAGGCGGAGGACACAGGAAGAGAGTTTAATCGCCCCAAGTCATACACCTTCCCCGTGTCCCGGTCAACAGTGCTTCACTGTAGTTGTATTTTTTTTAGACGTCCTCAACTGGAGTCAGTACAAGAGTTTAACTGTGTTGAGACGTCCCGAGGGATCGGGGGGTGAAGGTGTGCGCCATCGTTTTCATGGCAGATAATGACCCATATGTTGTGTGATATCTTCCATATGATGGATGGGAGAGGGAAGCATCTCCGGCAGTTTGTTCCAGATCCTCCGTAGTCTTGCACCGCTGTTTTATAACAGGGGGTAACAGGACTTTGCAGACACCCCGCACGCACAGGGAGGAGCTGGGGTTCGGGTAATTCAGCCTGGCCCCGCCCTCAGCCCCTCTTTCCCCAGTAATTACCCGCGAAAGACGATGTCGCTCACCTAATAATTTCTGCATATTCTTTATCCTTTCCTTTACTGTCTCGCCATTTCCGGAACATTACGGACGCATCCACGTTAGCCGGGGAGAAGGTGTTGGGCTCGTTCAGCAGCGAGATGACACTGAGGAGGATTGTCCTGGAGACGGGGGGGGGAGAAACCAAGGGGTGGAATGTTAAGGTAAAGCACTCGAAGGAGAATAATCATCAGTAATAACTTGGTACAGGATGACTGACCACCCACCCACCACCCCATCCACCCCAAACCTCCCCACCCCCACCCACCCCGACGCAAGGTTTGGGAAAGAACCAAGGAAATCAGACGTACCTGACATTCTGGGTGGGGTTCCATCTCTCCGAGGGGAGCTCTCCACTCTGGGGGTCATCTATAGGCGGGTGTAGGATTGAAATACAGACATCACCGTTCTACGGGCAGGAGAGCGAGAGAGAGAGAAACAAAGAGACTTCATCACAATCCTTCTCCGACCACAAGCTGGCCCATAAATAATCCTCACCGTCCTTTCACCTGACCATGTGTAAATGTACGCAGTTGTTGTTCCTTCCCACGACTTTACACTGTAGAGTTACGCAGCTGCTTGTACATTACAAAAACCCAAAACATTCTGAAGGGCTTTACGGAATCGAGATCGATCAGAAACGGAACGTCAAGTCAGCAAAAGCAACTGCTAATATGGGCCAAGAACTGGACACCTTGAGCCGAGCAGCCTGTTAAACTGGGCAATAAAAACACACAAGCACTGTGTCTCTCTGAAATCAGTCGGAGGCTTTCCTTCCCGTCAGCCTGAATGACGAGGCAAGTCTAGTGCTCGATCACTGTCCGGATGACAGCCTCAAGGTTACCACTTGGTAACAGGAGCCCTCCTCTCCGTCCCCCCGCTCCACCCGCCCGGGTCAGTCCCTCTCCCAGCAGCCGACCGAGAAGTTGGCTGCCCCACCAATGTCAGGCATAAATTTAGACAGGATTAAATTATAAAGGCCCATCGATTCACAAGCAACGAACAATGAGGCAGTCCTGGGTCTCAAATTGGGAGGAATATTATCCCTGCTGTGAACCAGAGACTGCAGAACATCACGGGTCTTAAGGATGTTTCCCCCTCCCTCTCTCCCCCCCCCCCCCCCCCCACCCAACCGCCACACACACCCACCGCATACAGCAAAGGACAATAAGACAGACAAAGGGACAGGACTGAAGGTTAACATCTCGCCCAAAGCTCAGCATCTGCCACAATACGACACTCGCTGAGCTCAGCGCTCTACTGGAATGTCAACCTCAACTGTGAGCGTGTGTCCTAGTCATGTGGCGTTCACACAAAACTCTGACACCGAGACGAGAGAGTGACTTAGGGAGGATCAAACGAGGAGAAGAATTGACCGCGCAACTCAACTCTGAGTGGGGGAGGGAGGAAACGAGAGAGAGACATCCTCAATTGTACCCACCTCGTAGATGTTGGGATGCCACATTTTCGTTAAGAACCTGAAGGCCGGAGGCGAGTAAGGGTAATCCATGGGAAACGTCAACTGTGCCTGGGTTAGAGAGAGAGAGAGAGAGTCCATTAGCAGGTGATACAGCAGCCAACCTAAGGTTTTGGCCCCGCCTGGGAATAGAACCTGGGTCCACTCGCTTGACGGGCGAGAGCGCTAACCACTGTGCTGCAGGACTCCACGAGCAACCGTTCAACAAAGCCCAACACGGCAGGAACCTGGATCCAACTGGTTCAGGCAAACAGCGAAAGGATCCGCGCCAGAAAATACACAGTCACCCCGCCTGCTTTTCAGGGGAGTAAGAATTCCTTCGAGGTAATTGTGTGCGATTGGCTGCCGCGTTTTGCCCACAAAATACACAGCCAATTCACTCCACGTTATATCCTGCGAAGCTCTTTGAGACGTCTTGAAGAGGTGACAAGGCGCTCTATCAAGTGCAAGGACTATTATTAGTATCATCATCATCATCCTCATCATCTCCAATACACAACCAGTGTTGGGATTAATTCCACATTTCGACACGAGTCGTTCTGGTGATAGGAATTAATCCAGAGGTCACCAGACTACAGACTGCTCCGACCCTCTTGCTTATTGCATCAACGATAGCAAACATGTCCCCACTCCATGTCCAGGGCTGTGCGCTGTTTACTGCAGATCAGATCTCCTTTAAGAATAATCCCTCCCTGTACTATCCTGGAATTCAGGTCATTGGAAACAACAATCCAATCACACAGTATAGCCCTGAAAACAGGGCAGCGAGTCGGAGACAGTAGGTCAGTCGCACACCAGAAGGGACCACAGAGGATCATTTAATAATATTAATGGTATTTGATATAACGCTTCATCATGTTTTCGAGACTTTCAAAGCGTTTCACAGGTTACACTGTAAAGTGGATTGACTGTATTTTGTGGATGAAACGGTGTTAATTTATGAATCAACCACCAAATTTTCCAGGCTAAAGATCCTCCACACACTTTGTCTCAATTGATTCACTCACTTTATGGCACTTTCCAGGACCTTTTCTGTGCACAGACTTGTCTCCATGTTTGGGTACAAATACGAACACTGCAACTGACAGCAACTCTCTCTCTTAAGTGCTTGGTGACCGCTCAACATTAAAATAAGGGTTATCTATAACTGCATCTCAGGAGTATTGTTCAGGCGGAGCTTATGATAATGGGGGGGGGGGGGGAAGAGAAAGGGTCTCGAGAAAAAAAAGTAATGGGAGATTAGGAACCAGACCATTTTGTAAAAGACAAACAGCTGCAGAAACAACCCAAGGAAATCTACATTCAGACCAGACCCTACACCCACACTCACTGCTCAGGCAATCCAGTCCAGTTGTTTAGCACCGTCTCGGTTAAGAAACACGGAGACTTTGTTCACTTTCCTGCTCCTCGAGGCACTGACCCGCACTGGGGGACTAATAATAATCCTTGCATTCGATACAGCACCTTATCATGTCGTTGAGACGTCTAAAAGCGCTTCACAGGATATGCCGTAAAGTGAACGGACTGTACTTTGTAGGCGAATGGCGTTTCCCAGGATGTCTTTCCGATGTGTAGGGCGCTATATAGTCTAATCTGTTGTTGTTGAAACACGGCAGCCAATTACACACAGCAGTGCCCCACAGACCATCGTGGAATGAGCGACCGCATTACTATTATTTATCATTTTTAAGGGATTATTAGCCCCGAAATCGATCCGCCAATTGACCAATGGGAAAAAGAGGACGAACATTCCTCCCAGCGTCTTTGGGACGTCCTCCTGACGTGAAAGGCGCGAAACAAACGTAATCTTGTTGTTATATTGCCTGCTGCGTTTTTCTACAAAAACACTGATGCAGTCTTGCGATTTGCTCCGACATGTTGAGACGTGGTGTGTGCAGTGAGCCCCAGCACTGTGTCATTTCAGATATGCCTGTAATTGGGCACAGTGACACACACACACACATACACACACACACGACACACACACACGAGTTTCAGATTTAACCTCAAAGTGCTCGCAAGAGCCAGTTTTGAAACCAAGAGGACAGTGAAATATACACAGACTACGTAACATCGTTCGACTGAGGAGCGTTTTTAAACCTTAAAACGAACTGCACCAACTTTAGTGTGTTGCCCAATAACCTACTGATGTTCCAATGCAGTGAGGTGAGGGTGTGTGGGTGAATAGGGAGCACCGGGAGTGGTTAAAGATCCTGTGACTCCATTGAAACGAGAAGGAAGTTTATCAACTGCTTGTTCATGAGCACGTGGTCAATAAGATTTGGAGCGAATCCCGTGAAGCACTTTAATACATCCTTTCCCCCATCATTAGACAGCGAGTCAAACATATTCCTAAATCTGCCGGCGCTGGTACGGATCAGCTGCCACACTCCATAAAACCTGAATTTCTCATCAACTGGATTTCGGGCAGAGTGTGATACAATTCGAGCCATTAAAGTGAAAGGCATCACATGTAAATGCCAGTTTATAAATAACACCAATTTAATCAGACACAAGGAGACAGCGCAGGTCATTCCTCTGCTGTACAGATATGTAAATGGTATGGGGAAGGGGGAGGGAGGGAGGGAGGGAGGGGGGAAGGAAAGGGCTTCAAATCACAGTGAGCTGCTTCGAGCAGGACTGAGACACCCCAAGCGCCTTCACAGACCAAATGCCTGACACTTCACTAGATAAATGGCTGCACAGAGGGCGCTCAGTGTCAAACACCTCCCAGTAAAAGCACACCCTGGCCCCAGAGGCTGCCTCCGCAGCAGGGATGACAAAGAACCCTTTCTGTCTTTACCCACTCTGCTCTCCCAGACGAGAGACACAGTATAATCTCCTTCGCCCCCGTCCCACGCGGCACATCCAGGTCAGCTCGGGACGGGTTAGAGACAGAGTAAAAGCTTTCTCTACTCCGTCTGGGATTTGCCGCCGTTGGAACATCAGCAGCTTCTCAAGAGATGCAGCGTTCAGGAATGGAGAGAGCGGAGGGGGGGCGGGCTGGGGGGGTGGGGAGAAGAGGGGAAAAGGGGTTATGTTTATTTAATTTTCTTTGCAAACTCGTCAAGAGACCATGAAGATTTCACCCGAGCGCTCAGCGAGTGGAAGGTAACACAAGCCAAAATGATCGGGGACAAAAAAACAAAAGCCCCAATCTGAACCAGGATCAGTGCTCAAGTGTCCGATCTCAGCCGGGGGAGGAGGAGGAGGAGGCGGTGGTGAAATCAGAAGCTCCGCAATCGCCCTCGGAGTCTGAGAGGAAAATAGAAATCTTTCGGGGAGGGGGTGGGAGGGGAAGAGAGGAAACAAAAGCGAGAAATGCGAACTTTCAGCCACAATTCTGAATCAACGGGAAATTTGGTGGTTCCGCAACACTTGAGCACAGACTGCACTCAAACGACAGAGGTGACCGTGACCGGCCCAAGGGGGCAACTGTGGAAATCAGTACCCGGGGGGGAGAGAAGTCAGATCATCAGATCACCGGGGCACTCGCTGAGCCTCAACAACAGATCAGAGAGATTTTGGGAGAGAGAGAGAGAGGGGACGGACGGACGAGAATCCCAAATAGGATCTTTCACGCGATGCTCCTGTTCCGAGTGGACGATGAAGAACGCGAGTAACGATGGGAAAAGAGACGGGGAGTTTTCCCCCCCCCCCCAACCCCACCCCACCCCACCTCGCGTGGGTTCCTGGCCAACAATCCCTCTGATGGTCAACGGTGAGAGAATCACCGACGCAAAACGACTGCCACAGAAACGGCGTTTAAAAAAAAAAAAGCCGAGTTCTTTGTTTCTTCCAATTGGAAGTGAACAGGCGGCTCAGAGACCAGATTTCCTCTCTTTTTTTTCCACCCCCCCTTTTAAATTTAAAGGAAAGGCTGGGAGTTGAGCAACCCTGAGCCGGCCATGACTCACTCCGTGTCCTCGGTGTTAATTAACATCGTCAGCCACGTCACTCCCTTCCTCTCCAGGCTGACGGGCTCTTTGGCTGCCAGAACGTGTGCAGTACAATGAAGCCCTGTCCGGGCCACAGTCTGACAGCCACAAAGAGGAGACAAGGAGCAACAACTGGGAGAGAGGGAGAGAGGGAGGGAGGGAGGGGGGAGAGTGAGAGGAGAGAGAGAGAGAGGAGCGCGAGCGCGTGCGAGGTCTGCACCGCCAACACATGCCACTTTCCCTCAAGTCCCCAGTCTTCAGTCTCGTGGCAGCTTTTCTCTGTGCTGATGCGGAAACGAATCTGGACAGCGAGCTCCACTTACTATATATATATATATATGTATATAACATATATTTTTTTTGGTGCTGCGCTTGGCCCACGAAATGCACAGTCACTCCACTTCACCGTACATTCTGTGAAACGCTTTGAGACGTCTCTGAGATGTGTCTTACGTCTCGGCGATGTGATAAAGCTCTAGATCAAATGCAAGGATTATTTATTATATCACACACACACACACACACACACACACACACGAACGGTATGATATATTTTGATACAGCGCCTTTCATGTCGGGAGGACGTCTTCGTGGCATTTTACCGTCAAACATAGTGACTGTGCGGCAGACACATCGGTTCATTCACCTCTCGGCTGTGAGCAACATAAAGCTGCCCACAAAACGTCACTGTTTGAGAGTGAAGCACTTTGAGACGCTGATGTAAAAAGGCGCTATAAAAAGACCAGTTCCCTTCCCTTTTGTGGCTATCCATTACGCACAGGGAGGGACACATTCGAGTGGCCCAGAAACCCCCCCCACCCCCACAACCAACCAACAACACTATGTCGATAGAGCCCCTTTCAAGTCGGGAGGACGTCCCAAAGCGCTGATGTTATGCAACACCAAGTTATGCAAACCTTCCGAGCTCTGGGGAAACCCACCAGAGAAAACTGAGCCATCTGCCCTCAAAGCCATGAGCAGCAGCGCCCATTGCTGGTAATTGCATTAACATGCTCAGGGCTCCTCCATTACTGTAAAGAGGAACTGAAGCCCTTGTGCTCGTGGTAGACAGCCCCATTTACACAGATCGCGCGATTACTTGCTTTCTTCATT